TGCCATCACTTAGACCTCAGTGTCACAATTTGCATACCGGATTTCAGGAAATTTCGTGCACGGATTGGGAAGCTGTGACTGGAACGCGTCAGTGTTGGGTAGAATGAAAATCATACTTGGCTGCTCCTGCCGTGCTACCCGGTGGGAGGTGTACTGTGTTTTCCATTTCAGGTCCGCCGCTGCGAGCTGTAGGAGCAAACTACACGTTTCTAGCCCAAGCATTAAGCATTTTAGGACGTTTTAATTTCTCTTGTAACCACTGATTATTTTATGGGAGACAGTCGCGATTTTGCATGGGCGGTATGCTCAGGATAAAACACAGTTTCGGGAAATCTGAATCACTAGTTTCTGAACAGTCCGTGTTGCGCCGGCGCGATATGCTCTTCACGTGACGTAGCCCCGATCTTGCCACTTTCTTTCTGTCATGGTTTAATTGTCTCATTCAGAGTTCGTGAAGCTGTTTATCATTTCCCATCACACCTGCGGGCCACCTCGGTGTCGAAAGTATTGTAACGTGTTTACGTTACTGAGACGCCGTAGAGATGGTTAATNTGTAGTCGGCTGGCTGTTACTTTATAACTCGGAATGTCTTCGGCGGTAGCCACACTGGAACTCGAACTGATCGATACGCACTGTGCATCCACTTATATAGCTGCAGTGCTTGCCTGTGGCGTAATGAGTGCCACGTCACAGTAGGACGTTGATTACGGTTACGTTAGCGTTGCGCGTTACGTCACCGCGTGACGTCACCGCGGAGGGGAGTGGCGGGGAGCGCTACGTTACCGTGGAGAGGAGGGTGGAGGGGGGTTCTCAGTCGCGCAACATGTTACAGTATGAACGTTGAACCCAAGACCAGCAAATAATATATTTCATAGTTGTGATTTTAATTGTGACACGATCCGGCTCTGTCGTTTCTTGTTTTCAGCTCGGGAGAAGTGGGGCTTGCCAAGAGTTTTTGTAATTTTTAACGTCTAGCGTTTTAGTGGACTTGAATGTGTAACAACATGCACGTCAGTTATTTTTATATGGTACCGATTCAGAGTGTCTGAATACAGGGTGTCGCGTAATAAGCCCCAACAGAGTGGCAGTGATCGTTCAGCGTTTACAGTAGTAACGTACGAAAAAAATTATCATTTAACGTGTATAACTGAAGAAGGATTTCTCTAACGCCCAGGACCTAACAGTATTGCATGGGCAAGTCGACTGTTTCGCGCATGTGCAGGGAGGCAAAGATGGGAATAGAAAATGGGCACTCAGAAGTTGTTTCTTTCAGCCAGAAAATACTCAGACGTCAGGAGCGACAAATCTAGACGACACAGCTGCCTTCGAATACAACTTGCTGCTAGGAAATAAAACTGTCGTATAAATATTCGGGTTCCTCCGTGACTCACGGCCCTCACAGCCGTCATACAGTATGATCATTAGTCCCGTGGTTCTCGGAACCAAGAATCACTGTGCTGGCGAGGGCCAGTAGCAGTTTAGCAGTCAGCCAGGTTCCTTCACTGTGAGATTACTTAAGCATCTTTAGCTTCTTATCCCCTCCCCCTTGACGGATGACCATATGGAGCGAGGTGATCTCGATGCGGTGCAGTTTAACTTTTGTGCGAACAGTGCGCCACGTCAGGTGATTGCCGAACATGTTTTATCTGTATGAAACCGGGGTCAATGGTCAATCAGAACCACGTGGTTATAATTATCTGCGTATGACGTCAGGCGTGTTGCCTGGTGTCACTCACGAAGAAGTGATCACTCATACATATCGAAGTTGCTTTTCAAATAGATTTAACAATCACTTAAAGGAGGGCACTGTAATTATTATGAACAGTGCTAGCAAAAAGTGAAACTTAAGTTACGACAGACGTTCAGTCGGTCAGTTTGTCTTGGTGTCAAGCCCCATCTTGGGGGCCCAAGATCAAATTTTTATTACTATCACACAGGTTGGGGTTTGTTGTGGGGCGCCATCTCTGACGAGACTATGTTTACAATTGCTTCTGGTCCTCACCAGCACAGCCATTCTCGGTTCCGAGTCCCGCTAGACTCATGACCATATTCCCCAAGCACTGGGTTCCCATTTCTTCGCCTACTACGACTCGCAGGGCTACGGTGGAGGTATTTGAACCCGCCTCCACACGGGCTAGTGCGAGCCACTAGTCGGTTACAAGAAATGAAGTGCGTAACAGCTCGAACAGAGAACAAAATATCAATGAGTGGCAGCAGCAGGGAGGAATTTATATCTGCCCCACCGAAACAGAATCTCAGTTGCGACGACTGTTCACTTTGAAGAAAAATACGAAATAGTACGAACCCGAACAACTGGCCCATGAAAGTGGGCATCGTCAGGTAGTAAGATTTCCCCACATGAACTTGTGTGGACTCGAGTGAAACGGGAAATCGCGCTGAAAGAACGAAACACTTCTGTATTTCAGACGTGGAAAGACCGGTCATCCAAGAACGTGAAAAGGTGACACAGGTTGACGCGTATGCATCACACTGTGAGACGACGAATAGGGGCCGCGACATAGCTCAAGTGGTTAGTCGTTGGCTTCCCACCGCGGCGGCCCGGGTTCGATCCCGGGGTCTGGTCAAGTGGGATTTGTGGTGGACAAAGTGGCGCTGGGGCAGGTTTTCTCCGAGTACTTCGGTTCCCCCCCTTCCCCAATCTTCATTCCTCCAAATTCTCCATCATCATAATCACCCGGGGCAGGCTACAATAGGCCAATCAGTGAGACGCGTACGCGAAAGAACTAGCACGTGACAACAGCGGTTCGTCAGGAACTTGGTCATGCAAAAAGAAACAAGAGAATTACGTTTGAGAAAAAGAAGTGTTTGAGAGGTAAGTCGGGAGAAAGGATGAAAGTAAAACCGGAAGCACGGGGAAAACGACAAACAGAAGCGGTGCCTCGTGTTGGCCAGCTGGAACAGTTTCTTATTAATAGTGATGTCGCTCAAGCAGAAACTCAAACTTGCTACGGTGTTTATCCTCCATGCCGTGAAAGAGGAAACGAGCGAGCCTACCAACTGGACCTCGTGCCCAGAGACTGAAGTCGATATCTTGTGGCTATGCCTGTTTCTGTTCTGTACTCTCTTCATTTTTTAATATTTCGTCCACATCCGACAGTTATGACTTCTTTTCAGATATTCTTAAAGCAGCGTTCATGTTGAGAAGCTAATAATATTAGTCATTCATCTGGTCAGTAACTGCCCCTCCTTTTTTGGGCCCCGAAGGTTCGTTACCGTCTTCTCTGGTCCCTATCCTGCGGCAAATGAAACCGGACCGTATAATCGCATACTGTTTGTTATGATCCATTTTAATATCATTCTCCCCTCTACGGCTAAACCTGTCAATCGCTTTCTTTCGTGTAGGGCCTCTGAATAAACTTATGTGTGTATTTCTCATCTCCCGTGCGTGCTACGTGCTCCTCCCGTCTCGTCCCCCCCCCTACATTCACATGAAATTTCGTGATGACTGCAAATTATGAAGTGGTCATTATGTGCTTGTGGGACATGCGGTAGTATAGTTGGTTGAGGTTCTGTGCTACAAGCCGGAAGGTCGCGAGTTCGTTTCCCGATGTGGTCACTGAATTTTTCAATTCACCTAATCCTTCCAGCCGCACTATGGCCCTGAGGTCTACTCAACCTCTGACAGAAATGAGTACCAGGACTCTTCCTGGGCGTAAAGGGCGGCCTGCCGGCGCGTAAGGCTGACAACCTCACCGCCGTCTGTGAGGCGATTGTCTGGAAAATGTGAGAGCCTCCACGGCCTGTTATAGCGATGGCTTTACCTTACCATTATGCGCATGTGATAACAACAGTGTTATTAATGTGAAATTAGTAATGATAACATTTTGGAACAGGTGTGATAATGTGGAATATTCGACGGTACAGAAGGAAAGGTTGTCTCTGCACCATTGGCGCTACAGCCCTCATTTGGGCCAAGGACTACCTCCATGAATCTCTCCGTTTCACTTCGGTTTTTCTAGATCTTACACATTCGGTAGGACTCCTTGGGCGGGTGATCAGCTCGTCGCAAGGCCTCTACCGTTTGGGAAGTTTAAATTATGCTAATTCGAAAGGCCGCCGTTTGGCAATTCTCTTGCCTCAGCCACTGCAGTTCTCATGTCCCCAACATGCCTTTCACTTTATTTGCCCACCTCGAGTCTCAGGATTTCAACAGTACTTAAACGGGTTTTCAGAAGATTCAGTTACGCAACGGTTTTGTTTACGGAGAACTCGTGAGACATCCTTCATTATAATCCGACAGTCGTAATAAATGCGACCGTATACGTGGGGCAATCCTGCCAGTTTCTTAAAATTGAATTAAGTTATTTAAATGTCCGCCATATTTCCCAAACAATGGATGACGTGTTGCGCAAGTCTTCCCGCTACTACTGGCACCAATGTGTGGCAGGATTACGTAAATGTTTATCTTCCGCCATGGTGAGTCATATTTTGTAATGCATGTCATCCGAGGACGCGTCATTTCCACTGTATCTGTGTGATTAAGAACCACCAAGATAATTAATTAAGCTTAATTCTTGCTTTTTGCTGCCACCAACCATGACGTGTGAAACAGTCGTTTTTGTCGTGACAGGCGCAATGTGTTGGATAGCTGAGCAAGACATGATATATATTTTGTGATATCAGTTAAAGTCTTCACGACGTCGACAATTCATACTGTGATGTTCTCAGTTATGTAACTATAATAATAATTATTATTATTTATATCGCACACAAGACCCGTCAGGATTTTTTAATATCTGTGATTAATTGTAGGCTTATATCCTAAGGCAAGGGCGAAGGTAAGTAATTACGTGTCTGGAGTTCTGCAAACGAGCTGGGGCGTTCCGAAACTATAGTTATATTAAGAAAAAAATGTATATTGTCCACCTCCTGTGCTTCTGCGCGTTAGTCTTGACTTTATGATTCACCTGACCACAGATTTAAGCGCTTCAAACACGTAGACTGCTGTCTCATAATTAGCAATGTTGCCACTGTTCCAGAGCAACTCGCGAAGCGCTGGGCGAAGTGTGACCAACAGTACCTCGCGCTGGAACTCGCGAAGCAGTGGGGAAAGTGTGACCAACGGCACCTCGCGCTGGAACTCGCGAAGCAGTGGGGAAGTGTGACCAACAGCACCCCGCGCTGGAACTCGTAAAGCAGTGGGGAAATGTGACCAACAGCACCTCGCGCTGGAACTGCGAAGCACTGGGGGAAGTGTGACCAACAGCACCTCGCGCTGGAACTCGCGAAGCACCGGGGGAAGTGTGACCAACAGCACCTCGCGCTGGAACTCGTGAAGCAGAGGGGAAGTGTGACCAACAGCACCCCGCACTGGAACTCACGAAGCGCTGGGGGAAGTGTGACCAACAGCACCTCGCGCTGGAACTCGCGAAGCACTGGGGGAAGTGGGACCAACAGCACCTCGCGCTGGAACTCGCGAAGCAGAGAGAAAGTGTGACCAACATCACCCCGCACTGGCGACCACGGGGTTTGCTGCGTGTAGCCGCTCGGCGCTACTCGAAGTCGAGAGCTGGTTCATCTATCATTGGTTCGCCAGGGACTGTCCCTGTAAGTTTATCTGTACAGACTTGTGTCCAAACTAAGAATTCTTCACATTAGATTGGTATTGTAACCCAACCCGGATCAGGTAAGGAGAGTGAAAGATGCCAGTGCAGTTTTCTCGAGACGCCTCTAAAGAGAGGATTTCCCGAAACGTGGGTTTGGGATGAAACAGAAATGTTCGTAGAAGCGTGATTTGAAATATGTGTCTATAGATGAAGTCCCCCTGCGCCTAATTAAGCACAGCGTTATGAAGACTTCTGTGAGAATGAAACCCCTCCGAACGCGGGCTCCTAAGACATTACAAGATGGCGACATTTACAGAATGAACTGTCGGTTCCCAGGGTGGTTGAATGAGTTGACAGTATTCTGCAGTCAACAGACGACATGGTGTTGATTCTGCTGTTGAGTCTTCGCCTCGTGTGGATATGGGCAGTGTTTGCCGACGTTTCGGAGACATGGAATTTAATTAAATAATTTTCCTGGGGAGTAAAGAGCGGCCGGCGCGTAAGGCTGACAACCTTACCGCCATCTTTGAGCCTATTGTCTAGATAATGTGGGACCCTCAACATCTCACAATCCTATGGGCCTTCACAGCCTGTTACAGGAATAGCTTTACCTTTTCGGAGACATACTGCCTCATCTTCAGGTTCGAAGTATGTGAGGTGGGTGAGTGTGAACGTGTATGTATAGGACGGGTTCCCTATCCAGGCCAACAGGGGTGGGTAGTGGACAACAAAATGTTATCTGACGGCCGTCTTAGGGCCTTGGAGTACGCCACAAAGCTGTAGACAACANTATCTGCACACTTAGGCAGTAGAGAGGGTGCCACAAACACACTCGTCTGACAGTCCCGTACCAGAGCGAGAGCACCTGCATGCTGGGATTCTAACAGGGTCGCAGGGTAAGGCATGCAAGAAACCAGCCGCTTGCACCTTGCTGCTTTCATGCTTTGCCTACCAACCTTCGACCCTAAGCACTGAGGGAATACGTGCTTCCGGAACGTCCGTGGGCTTTACTGAACCACACGGCGTTACATCCCAGAAGGAAACGCGATGATGTTGGTTTTCTGTGTCGAAGTGAGTCGAGTCGGGTGAGTGACCCTGAAAGCGGAGCCAGCATGTACCTCGAAACGTCGGCAACCCTGCAGGAGCAGGGTCGACGTCATCAGTATGCCACCCCTAAATCAACATCTGACGAACGTTGCCTTGCTATGTGGTTCTGCTGTCCCATGGATTCCCATTTCCGTGCCATGAATTGGTGCTCTGCACATCTGTCCTGTTCTTCTGTTTGTTATTGTTTATTTTGCCCATTCTTTTGCTTTTATTTTTTGTATAGGCACTTGAGGGCTAAATGCTTCTACCTTTGACTGCGGAAGAAAAGTATCGCCATATTCGGACTAATGGTTGATGGTAAGTTTATTATTATTATTATTATTATTATTATTATTATTGCGATCACCTCTGTGGTCTAATGGTCAGAGTTCCTGGCTACAGATCCAGAGGTCCGGGTTAGATTCCCGGCGCTACTAGATTTTTTCNGGATTTAAGTCCAGGCATCACCACAAATAGAATATATTAGTTTTGAACTTGATTTTGGCCTACTGCGTGTGCCCACAAACATCCAAAGATTCGTCTGAATTGATTCATCTTTTCCCCTCTCCAGTAAACTACTTACATTATCAATCCGTTTAACTTGAAAACCCGAAGTATGTTACAAAGTATATTCAGACTCTCACTGATCAGAAATTTGAGTCTCCTGAAGGCACAACATGTGCCATCATGGGCTCTTTTTGGATTGAAATCACACAACGAGATTAGAAGCTGGATTGTATAGAATGACGAATTATTAATTCGAAAGGAACTGTAAGGATGTGGTTGTGGCCTAATTTGTGGTATCCCTCCGTTCTCCAGGTGATAATGAGGAAGTTTACAAATGATGTCAGTTACGATAACTAGTCTCTGGGCCTATATTTCAACCAGAGACCTACAGAGTATGAAGCAGGCATGCTGCAGACTATTTTGCAACTTTTTTTAATTAGTATCTTGTAAGCTGTGTGGCATATGTTAGGTTATTATATTTTGTTTAGAGTATGTTAAGCAGCACATATTAAATGGTAAGCTTCCCAGAGCTATAGAATTTGCAGTTAACGATATCTTATCCAGTTGCTACAGTTTGCACACTGATAACCAACCCAAATTCTTTTTCCTTTTACTTCTTGACAACTACAAGATAAATGTTTCCTTCAGTCTGCTCTTGAATAATGAAGCAAATTTCTTTCCTGTCTTGTCTTCAAGTAAATTGGCATTTGATGTTTTATGTGCTAATAAGATATTTATGCTTGCTTCCAAAGTGAGTTGGGTTATTCCCTGTCTCTTGAATTGCCACAAAATATATCAATATGGTATTTCTTTAATCAGAGGTCATTTTTGTTGATAATTGGAGATTATCTTTTATGTTTAATGTTTTTNGCTGTGTGGCATATGTTAGGTTATTATATTTTGTTTAGAGTATGTTAAGCAGCACATATTAAATGGTAAGCTTCCCAGAGCTGTAGAATTTGCAGTTAACGATATCTTATCCAGTTGCTACAGTTTGCACACTGATAACCAACCCAAATTCTTTTTCCTTTTATTTTCATTTATTTACAAGTCACCAAACAAAAACAAAAAATGCAGAGAGGTGACATGTGACTGTGTGTGTCCATTATGTTACAAACTGGCGTTTCCTTCTGTTCCTTGCTGGCTAGACAGTTGAGGGCTCACAGAAAATCTGCAATGTGGAGAAATGTCACGTTACCATTTACAATTGCTGTGTCTAATCCGTCATGTTCCAATTACCACATTAGTTATGGGTGTTTCGGGAAGAGGAAAACAGTTGTAAAACTATGCTAGAAACTTTTGATTTGACTTCATTCGTTTTCTTCACGATCTCCAGAACATGTACACCAGTGGTTCAGCACAGTGTGATATATATGTCTGCAGTATGTGAAGATCAAAGTCCATGAATAATCAAAAATTGTGTAATATTCATTTTGCAATTTACTTGTGATTACTCTCCACAGTTATGTCTGAAGGGTTCAAAGCCGGGGATATTGGGCTGAGAGCCCAGAAGAAGATCCTGAGCCGTATGGCCAACAAGAATGTCGCCAAGGTGTTTATTGATGACACTGCAGCCAGTCTCTTGGATAATGTCTACAAGCTTGCCAAAGTTTATGTGAGTGTTTTCTTCCAGATGATCACATAAAAATATGGAAAAGAATTGTCTCTGTTAGTGAATGACTTGGGAGCACGCAGAATATGCTGCCACCCTATCTCTTATTCATTTAGATCATTGTTTCTTGGCCATCAGTATATGTACCCTTAGAGGTGTATGAGAGAAGTCTGGGGGTGTCTGAATTTGTTTTGTATATTTTTTTGCACAGTGATAAATACAATACAGTTCTGTATTTCAGCATCCGGTTGCAAAAAGTAAACAAACACGACATACTAATAATACTAATGATAATCATAATAATAATAATAATAATAATAAATAGAAAACAACATTAATAAAGAATTTATAAATTACAGATAACTAACGTGAGGAACAAGCTGCCGGGGAAAACATTTTAATATATTTTACGGGAGTGACGACACCCTGAGTGAAACAACAAATTATAAAAGAATTTTATCTCGTTTTAATTAAAGGAGGACTGCAGCTTGCGGTTTTTTAAAATGAATTGGAACAGCGAAACACTGTAGCAGTTTTAACAAGGTCTTGATTGAATATCTGTAATAAAACACTTGAAAATGGCCCTTTGAGGCCAAAACGTGTAGTGTCAAAGAGTATGTTGAAGTGTAAAACAAGTGTTGCAATTTAGACAGATATATAGACAAATGGATGCTAATGTAAATACAGTACAGTTTATTGCCTGTAGGTCATTTCTTCCAAACAGTGAGCTACAATTAAGTTGTAGAGACAGATACTGTATGTAGCAGTGGTAGAAAAATTGTTTGAAAAATGTAAGTGCTTAGGGTACTTCAGAAACGGTTTTTTTAATGGGGAGTAACTTTGTAAAAGTTGAGAAACGCTGATGCAGATAAGTGGTTTGGTCTCTCTTCCAGTTGTGTGGCTGAGATATACTGAAATAACTAATGTTATTTATTTCCAGAAAGTAAGCTCTTTTGGAACACTATGTAAAATGTTCAACTGAGTGGGAATGGGTGAAGTAAAACCAGTTTCTGTGCGGAGAAAGGGAAAAGATAGGGATAATTTCACAAAAATAGAATCCAGTTTCATATTTGGGGGGGATTGTGTGTTGTGACTTTTGATGGAAGGAGTTTGGAGGATATTAAATTAATAGTACTCTTATATATCAGTCAGACAAAATTTGATTAAATTCATGTGTATCCCACAGCATATGAAGCTTCTCTGCAAAATTGCCACTGCTCACTCTAGCAACTAATGTAATTAATACTAATAATCTTATTATCTGATAGACTGTGATTAAAAAAACAAGCAAGTGAACCAAAAAGAAATGTATATGGGACATAACAAGCTATAATTGTCTCCACATTTTGAACTGCAGGTCTGTGCAAAATTCCGTTCTTCTTGGACGTTTTTCTTAGAGGATATTACTGACATTAATTGAAAGTAGAAACAATATGGTAAAGATATTCCTGATCTGCTCTGGAGTATGTGATTCAGTCATTTAGTTGATGAGTAAGTGTTACATAGTCTTCTTTTATACTGGAAATGTTTGTGATAGTTATTCTTTCAACTGATGAGGATGGTCAGTATTCCATTGGAAGGTTCTCAGGGGCATTAAGTGTAGTATATTTTGGTTTTCGGAGGTTCTTCAGTCAGTTTAATCATTCACTTGGCCGGTAAGCTGATTATAGGGGTTGGGCAGAAATCCTGTGACCTTTGGCTCTGCATGGGAAAGGAGGGTCTTAGTCCAGAGGGATGGGACTCTAGCTAAGGTTGAGGGCTCTTAAAAGAGTCTTAGCAGGAACACTCAGGACACAGAATGAAACCTGTAGAGGTATACTAGAAGTCGCCTATCCATGTCGACACTCATCAGTACTCAAGTTGATTATAGTCAGTTCAAAGTGTACAAGTATTTGTGAACATCAGTGCATTAAACATTTCAAATGAAGATGGTGTCTATAGAGGACCTGCTCATTAGGTATACTAATGTCTGTGAAATGTTAATGTAAATTTTATATACAGTAAAACCTACCTTAAACAGAATCTCAAGGGTCCAGAACATTTTTCCACTGAAGCCAGGTTTCCGTTTAATCAAGGTATACCATAATAATTAAACCAAGACATGCACATATTTGAGACAAAATAAAACACTATACTCATTAATTTATTCACATTATAATCATTTAACATTTGCAAACATTACACTGAACATAAAAAACTGCAGTAACAGAGTACCAAAACTCAAGCAGAATTTTTTGCACGCAGTTTACTCTCTTGGCTGCCTGACTTTCCACAAACACTTTATCTTGAGAAATTAAGAGTAAGCATGTCTGAATCATTCTGTTGTACAGCAAATTGCTGCAGTTCCTTTAACTTTTGACGGCATCTTGATAAGTCTTCACTCTACACTTTTCTTCTTCTATCACAATGTCATTTTCCTCTTCTTCCTTCATTAAAAATTATCTGATGTCTTTTGCAAAAACTCTCCAACCATCCATCAGATGCTTTGAATTCAGTCTCCCCCAGTTTTCCAGCGACCATTTTAGCATATTCCTTTACCATAGGGCCCGACATGCAGTGATTTTTCGCCGACACTGACAAACCACTCCGACACTATTTCATTAACATCTTCATTTTCAGTTTTCTTAAGTTCTCTTTCTATTTTTCCATTAGCACAATTTTCCCACCACTTCAAAATTTCAGTTTTCTTCTTTAGAATCTCATACATTTGTGTTTTACCAACGTTAAACATCTTCATGATCTGCTTAACAGACAATTTGTCTCACTCATTCGCATGAATCACTTTTACTCTTTTGTTAAGATCAAGCACAACTCTCGTCTTTGTAGTCATGATGAAAACTGCTAGGCCAAAGTAAAAATGTCTGAGAAACAGATGTCACAGTGATAAAATCAGGTGATCACAGACAGTCCTGAACCTATGTCTCATTCACCAAATACTCATCTCATTGTTGCATGCATAGCATTGTTTATAATGTGCCTCCCATTGCAGCATCTTGCATAAAAATGCCTGTAGAGTTTTTCTGCATCAGTCAGTTGATTAAAGAAGGGTGACAGAATTAGTGTCAGTCAATCAGTTTCATTCAGAATTTACTATTTTCTGAAAAAATCCATGGGACAGTTATCCTCCATGCACTTACTGCACACCAGTTCCCAGCCTTCAGATCCTGCTTTGAAACTTTATGAACATGATCCGGTATTTGTATTCTGGTTGTTATCTAGCCATTTTCATCAGGATAAAGAGTTCTGGGTCAAAAAGTCCCTCGAGTACTACATTCGAAACTACTTGATAGATGAAATCGTTTTGCAGTCTGGAGGCAGAAATGTATGTACAACCATAGTTTTGTAAGGCTATAACTTTGGCAGTTTTGTAACAACATGAGCTGTACTTTCTGAAAACCCACACTGATGAGCCAAGAAGCATAGTAACTTTTTGTTCTTCCTTCTAATCAAGTGCGAACATCATAAAGTTCTTTGTTCATCCTATGGCTTTCTAAGATTTTTTTCCCTCAGCTTCGATCTTGTAAAATGTAGTTGAGTTACAGTATTGTGAATTGTTGTTTTCTATGGCACCGTGATATTTGGATACTGTCACGTGTATGGGGATATGGGTGATGATAATAATGAGCGACTAGGATGACTAAGCAACAGTTTGATGGCTGACAATGGACAGACTTGAGTGAACAGATTTCTAGTCAGCCATTCTACAGATAGATTGGATTACATGTACTTCTAAGTAGTATCATTTCTTCTACATCAGGACCAGTGTAATTCTTTTTCTATACATAATCATTCTCTGCAGTTGATAAAGTATCATTAAATAACCTAACTGCTGGTCCAACACAGATTATATAGTAAACCTATAGTTCTGCAGGAGGATGCTTATGAATAATGAATTGGAAAGAGAAGGGAAATGAGTTTTGGCCTATTGGAAGGTATTATTTCTTTGGAGTGACTTAGAAAAATCATGAAAATCATCAGTCAGGTTAAGGAGCCTCTGAATCGTTAATGATAATGTTGCAAGCTGTATGTACTGTCACCCCTCTACTGTAATGTAATTACCACACCAAGTGCAGAGAGTTTAGTTACCTGTCTGTACTTGTTATGCACCATGTTGTGTATTGCAGACTGGAAATAAGAAAGAGGCTGAGAAACTGGTGAAGAATATCATCAAGGTAGTGATCAAATTGGGCGTGTTGTACCGGAATGGGCAGTTCTCAAGAGATGAACTGAAGCAAGCAGAACGTTTCAAAGGACGCTTCCATTCAGCAGCTATGGCAGTTGTCAGTTTCTATGAAGTGGACTTCAGCTACGACCGCCACTATCTGTTGACTGCACTCAATGAGTCACGGGCAGCAATGCGACAGCTTGTCCAGCAACATCTCACAGACAAGTCACTTGCAAGAATTGATTCTGTGTTTGGTTTCTTTGCAGATCCAAATTTCTTGGATGCAGTATTTAGGAAAGATTCTGAATACAGAGAATATCTGGGAAGAATTGTGGCAGACATGAATCGTGCTATGGATGAAGGTGGAATGTGAATGTGGTGGCTACTTAATGTTTCATTAAGAACTCACGTGTTTGTGACATGCCACTCGCACATTGCGAATAGTTTTGTACAATCCATGCTGAATTCACCTTTCCATCAAGCTGTCTTTGTGGGAAGATAGCAATGGTAGTTATAAATAATAATCACTTCAAAAAACATGCTATTTTCTTGAAATACAGGCTAAACAAGATTTATTTACCTGTGTATATTGGTCATTTGAAGTGAACTGTTCATTCTGATCAGTTATTCCACTGTAATAATAAGTTCAATTGAACTGATGGACTGCCCTCAGTACGATAAAGTAGATAAATTACCTCTTAACTGAATTCAGAAATTCAAGGAAATGAGACTGTTAAAGAGTTAACTTATCTTTAACTAATGGAATGTAGTATATCTAACATGACATGATGGATATGATCCCAGGAGCCAAAACATCTGCTGCTATCTCCCTGTACAATTTAAAACTGTTAATTCCTTTTCCATCAATTTTAAGTACAGTTAAACAAAAAGACAGCAACTTTCTAGGGTTTATCTGGGCCATAAGAAGGTTATCTCCTTTCAGATTTGCATTATACTCCTCAAGAAACACTTTAGTCTAAAAGATCATTATGTTTGTTTGTTTTTTAATAGATGTACATGACCCATTCATGTTAAGAAATAGTGAGATTACTATCTCATTTATCCAAGGTGAGATGTGTGTTGTATTTTGTATACGTTTTGTACTCATTATAGAAAAGCTTGATCTCTGCAATGTAAAAAACAATATTTAGTAAAATATACAGTTCTTAAAACTTTAGTACCATGGAGGCAGTTAGTAGTCATCAACTCCTCAGGCAGATTTTTAAATTACCACTGCACTACCCTCTCAAGCAGTATTTAAATTTCTATTTATCATCCTCTTCACTTTCTCTCAATAGTTTCCAAAATATGTAAACTAGCCAACAGAGTAATTACATTTTTGTTGAAAGTTAATGGCAATACACGTTTCATAACACATTCTATTTTCCTTATTAGATGGTCTATATTTCCTGCCTTCGTGTAACAATTCTTAGATAAAACAGATGGCAGTGAGGCCTATAGATTACTTTGAAACTCATGTAGTTTCAATAGCTCTTAACACAGAGCAGCTGTAAAGACAGACAGTGCACCCATACACATGCAATTTCTGTGGTTGCATGGTAGTGAATATATACAGGTATGGGGAACCAGCTTGAGGGATTAACATTTAACGAGAATCTCTTCTTTCCCATCCTTCATTCATTTTTCCAATGTCCAAAAAATCTTGCAAATTCTTTGTCTGTGATGAGTCTGTTTCTTACTCATGTATACCCAAAATTATTGGAAGAAAATGTATTGAAGGACAAATGAAGGATGGTTGAAGTGTCAGTTTAGGTGAAAACACTATTGAAAAATGTTTATGTTTAACTTAACCTTTATGGGTCCACTCAGAAATATCTAACATATTGTACCGTGTTAGGCGTGTCACGCTACAAATAAGTTCACGCCGTTATTTGGTATAGCGAATTTATTCCGTTCGCTCACCTTACACACACTTTACAATCATTACCACTTGCAGTGTTACAAATACTGCTTACAATAACTTGGCCGATACTGGACCCTCTTCTCTGGCGGTTATTCTAGGACTCTACTCCGAAGGCTTGATAACGGCTGACTTCTTGGATGGCTCGATAAGGACTTTCTTCTAAGATGGCTATTCCGAGACTGACTTCTCCGACGGATATTCCAGGACTGTTGTGCGAATGCATTCCCCCCCCTATATAACCTAGGTCGCTGTTATGCAACGAACCCTTTGTTATAACCATGGAGACTCCTGTTAGAACTACAATGGAGCGATTGTTGTTTCCTATGCAACGGTCTGTTCTAGCGTTTCCATAGAAGTGACTCTTCTGGATTCCAGACACGTTACATTGCTCCCTTCTAAAGGTTGTTCGTCCCCAAACAGCCTAAAGGTTCTCCCTCGGTTTTGATTCCGCGGCATTTTGTTGACAGCGTCTGCATTCGGTCTTGGTGTCTGCTGGCATCTTTGTGCACCGTTCATTCTAACCGTATCCGCCCCTTTCTTCAGTGGTGCTCGCCCCGAGCACTCCCGTGGTCCAAAATTTGTTGGTCGCCTTACACACAATCATTCTTCGCTTTCATTCGTCCCACATTCGTACTCTCTGGGGAGGCCGGTACTTCTATTACCGGTTCCTCCCATACTGGCCATTTCCTTTTTTCGTTTTGGAGGGGGTCGACCCCTCCATAGTGTCCAATTTTTCGCGGTAAGCCTGATAATTTGTTTCATGTTCTTCACGTTGACAGCCTCATAGGGGGTCTTCCCTCGTGTTCCTCCCCTCCCTGGGTGCGATCGCTGTCCTGGCCTGCACCCTCCGATNCGCCCCTCTCTTCAGTGGTGCTCGCCCCGAGCACTCCCGTAGCCGAGAATTTGTTGGTCGCCTTGTCTCACATTCATTCTTCGCTTTCATTCGTCCCACATTCGTTCTCTATGGGGAGGCCAGTACTTCTATTGCCGGTT